CATTCAAACAGTTACAAAGCTACCCTAGTACCCAAAAAAGTACAATCAATACAATAACACAGGGGCCGTTTAATTATTTATGTTTAATATCCTATTACACATTTTCTATGCAGCAGGACACAAATTTCTTAGAATACCTCTCCAATTCTGTCCTTGGATTCTGAATTGTTTAAAATGTAAAAAATTAGGACAGCCACCTTTCTATTTCTTTTTTATTTAAAGAAAACAAAACTCTGATATCTGAATTAGGTTAACAAGGTATACAGTATCAGTTCCTGAAGGTCTGGTTTTTACTTTGAACAGAACAGGTGTAAAAATGCTCATCCTATGCCTTTTGAAATTGTTGTTGCTGTGAAAATACATTCTTAGACTGAACAATTGAATATCTTCAGAAAGTCAACTAGCATTTTTTTTTTATTATTAACACCCTGACATTCTTAGTTGAAAAGGTTTTCCTGTGTAAGTTTCTGATGGCAACAGCAGACTTTCCCATAACACTGAGCAAATACGGAGCCCTTTTCACCACTAACAGCATGAGTCTCAGGGGCATTTCCAGGGGCATTTGCCCTATAATTAAAAAAGCTGAGCCCATCTCTCGATATATGAACAACCAGGTTTATAGATTTTCGCTATAATGAAGTGGCTTCTAAACAATTTTGCTTCATGCACACAACAGGTAAATTAAAATAACCATACATTTTAGGCAAAGAAGCCTAAAATAATGTAAAGTAGACGAAGAGAAATGCATAACAAAACCAGTGTTAAGTACAAGAATGGGGAAAAGAGCAGTTAAGTATTCCAACAGTAAATATTTTCATGTCATGGAATCACTGATTACAGCAGCTGCTGTGAGGTATTTAGAGTTCTTTTGTTCTTTCAAAGCTCCTTCCACACATTTTACAACCTTAGTTGGCAGGGTGGGTGAGGCGAGCTGTGGGTAATTAAATAATTATTGATTTTGCAGACTGAATACACAAATGGGTTTAATTAAAAGATGTAGATGTATTTTCTTAAGGCAAGAGGTGTAATTATACTGGAACAGTCATACCAGTTTTTCAGTATCATGAAATGCATGCAATCATTACTCAGTGGGCTTAAGTAGCTCCAGTAATTTTGACATTACTGCAAATGTACACTTACAGTAAAACCATCACACTTTTGGTAATAATGAAAATAAAAGCTATGATTTTTAAAGTACCAATGACATTTTTGGGGGAATTAGGAAGACATCCTTAAAGAAGACGAAATTGTAGTTGTTGATTGTAACATATGGAAAATGTTAAATGTTTAAAACTTTTTCATCTGTTCCTTAACAGTACCATTTCTTAACAGTAACAGTACCATCAAGGAGACATAATCTAGTGCATAATCTAGTCCACTTAGATTTTAATAATCAGAATGGGCTTTAGAAATGCTGGAAGGGCAAAGTCTAATTTCGAGGTGATCCTAGCAAGGGAATTATTTTTATTATTAAGACAAAATGAAAACAAAAGGTGTCGTTTACTTGTGACCACGAAATTCCAAAATGGATTTCTGCAGAATATTTTATTTCTGAAGGAGTATTCTGTTACTAATATAAAAAAACAGGTAATTGTTTTCATCCTGAATCACTACAGGCTCACACTCCTAGCATAACAGCTCCTACTAGCCTCTTTGTGCTTGGTATAATTAGTTTAACAGTATTTCTGTAGGATTTCTTTTCCCTAAGCGTCCAGACACTAGTGACCAATAATAAAAAAGGGTTGAGTACAATTCTGGTTAAACACAAAGCCTAGTCTACAAACCCTGAGTATAGTGGGGGGGGGGGGCACACTTTATGTAAGTGCTCTGTGCCTTGTCACATATATAGACTTCTAACAGCTATTTCATTGTCATATGGGCAAACCGGGAAAACTGACTTCTTAAACAGAAGTGAGTTTTGCATTACAGCCAATGCTTGTAAACATGTAGAGCCTTATTGGCTGAAACAATTCTGAGCTGAACTGAATGATGATTTTACTCACGAGTGATGGAACAGCTGTCATTGCAGTGACCTGGCCTAGGATAGAGTGATACATTACCTTTATTCTAAAACAGCTTTTTTTTTTTCCCAGAGGGGCAACGAGGGATTTGTTACCGCCAGTCTATTATTTTACATTCAGCTGGTGGCACAGCCACAGGTTCTTCACTGAAACAGAAATGTTCCTTCTCAATATTCAACCTTGTGGCTGAGAAGCGAATCTCTTACAGACTAACATGCTCAAAACTCCAGAGACCCCTATCAGCTCCCCAGACTTACTATTAACAAAGTGACATTCGCAGCTTGTGACATACATCAACCATCATCTCATTATGACCTTCTCAGTCAGGTGCTGGCACTACACCATATTCTCTCAGGACCAGAAAGTAAAAACAGTACCTTCACACTCGCCAAGCTGACAGGTACTGGAGAGGAAGGAAAATGGAAAGATAAGCCCTGACACGAGGACTCTGAGGTAAACCATCCTGACAGGCCACTACCTGTGTGAACCTGGAGGGGCCCATGATGCTGTGAGGACCCCTACACCAAGGTTTTGAGAGAGCTGATGTGCGGAACAAAGCCCACCTGAAGTTACTGGCACAAAAGCAGCAAATTCACACATAAACAGGAGATAAAAAGAGACATACAAAGGTCACAGCCCACTGGACACACAAAAAAGAGTTTTCCTTCTTTTCTGGGGCTGACTGTTTTTTTGCATCTCACAGACTGGCCGTGCGCTTTGCATTCATTACAACTCTCCTCTAAACCTGCAATATAAATGCAAAACAGAGAACGTAAGCGTAAATGTGAAAATAAAGACTTCCAAGTTCCTTATTCTTCAACTTGCAGTGTGAAACGTTCTGTCACATATTCATAGCTGTCTTTCAATGTCCTTATCTTCCTAAGTGGATGCTGTAATAACAAACCATAAAATGAAAGGGTGTTAATCTTTGGAGCCCGCAGTAACGGAGTTATATTATAACGATAGGAGCATACAATTTCTAAGTGCAAATGCAGATAGAAGCCATGGTCAGACAATTACATTTCGAAGATTATTATTGCACTTAATTTTTTATCATTAGAATTGTTAAAGGATTCTGTCTGATCCTAACAAACGGGAAATAAAAAAAAAAAACACCCTGGTAGCTGTTCAGCAATTTCAAGCACATCCTTATTAAGCAAAGTTATTGATTTATCTGAATGCAGTAAAAACTAACAGGTCCATGGCAAATATGCTACAGTATATCAAATATGTTACATTAGCTTTGTATTAGCATCTAATACACTACCCCTTTAAGCAGCCAGAATTGCTTAAAAAAAGCAAAAGGCACACAGCCCTTAGTAGTGGCACCCTGTATATTAAATACATTTAACATATTTGCCAAATAAAGTACCTCAACATCTTATTATGTATGACCAGCTCATGAAAGTTTTTCTATCTGTCCTCCATACCTTACTTCTATTTTTTAGACATCACAATGGTCAAGGTCACAAACAGCAATGAGTGAGTTCTGTGTGTCAGTCTCTGAAGTTAAAAAATCATCATTGGAGACACTCTCACAGACTATTAGAAGATTTTGTTAAATGACTGTAAAGTTTTAGCACATGTGAAAAGTCAAGAACAGTCAAACTTGTGTTTGTAGGCTTCTATTCTCTAATCTGCTAGGGTCTGCTTAACTAGATATCCTTACACTAAATACACTAGATACTCATGAGTTAGTAGACTACTTACATTACCAAATGCCACACTTCATTGAAAACCCTTTCCGCCCTTTGTGGTTGATGATGAATGATAAAAATAAGCAGCATGCACATTAGACCAACCATACAATCGTGTATAAGTTTATATCAGTATCTGACAGGCACAATTACACAAAGTACAGAGGTGTACAAATTGACTTAATGATTTCAGGTAATGTGACTTCTTTTCAAATTTCAATTGCCCTCCAAAAAAATCACTCAATTGCTTCAGTGAATCGCGTGTAACAATCCTGTTGGGAAGTTCTGCTGGTGAATTTGAGTATAATTTCATCATTATAATCAAAACTCAAAGGCTCGTTGTCCTGACACCCAACCGTAGCGATCCATTTTGAGAACTCAATCCTTTGTGCCAAATGTCAGACTGCTTTATAAAAGTCTCACTGCAGCTCTTTCATTTATACATCCAAATGGCACTTCTCGTGCAAAATCTCAATAAGCACACACATTAAAAATGGAAATATAGCTCAGAGCTCAAAATTATAAATTCAGGGGTTTAGTTCATTTAAGCCAATGCAGTGCCACAGGGAGAAGGAGTGCGCGCCAAAGCTCAAAGTGGGATCCCTACAGCAGCTGTCAAGCTGTTCTCAGCAGAGCTGAGCAGTTGGTTCCTGTGGAATGTGGAACCGATCACAGAGACGAAGCAGGACTCTCTCCCATACAGACCCAACACAGTACAACGCACAACAGCTGTGTTAGTTTCACCTCCCCCTGAGCAAGTTGCAGAAAATGGCATGAAAGTAGCCAGGACCCGCACAATAATAAGACCCCCTTTCTTCATGCTCATAGAAATATTTAGAACTCCCACAAGCTGCTGAACTGGCAGTGGCAAGACATTTCCTGTTCATCCACCAGGCCGCAATAACACAGCCTCTCTAAGCTTCCTGGAAAAGCATATTCAAATCCCGTCCTAGGGGAACTCAGCTCAAAGGGGCAGAGGCAGCATTACCGCATTAATTTCCACCCCCCTTCTCTGCCCCACTGTTTTCAACTACAGCTCTCCACTGCTGTTTCACTAACTGGAGCCACCTCCATGAAGACCACTGCATCAATATCACCTGACAGACAGTGCGGGTTCTTAAACCATATTTGTTCTTGAATGCTTATACTGCAAAACCTTCCAAATCACCTATTCCTGCGTGAACAGTAGTAGTGAAGCTGAATGAGTGTCCCACTCGAAACCGGAGAAGCGGGCTAAGTCTACACGACTTCTCTACAAACAAGTAGACGCATGACCGCTCACCTGCCACCGAGTTAGGCCGGGGCATCATGAAGGAGCTCTGCTGTGGGTAGGAAAGAGGACCCTCCCCTGGGCTTGCTCCAGCTGCGTCCTGCTTGAGCGGGGCTTCTCCAGGGCCGACGGTCTCTTCCTCTGCCACAGGCGAACAACCATCCACCCGCGGGCTGGGCGCCAACCCATGGTGACCGCTGTCCCTCAGGCTGCCATCTTTGCTCCACTCTAAGCTCGATCCGCTCCGGTCATCGTTCTCCGAGGAGCTTGTAATTGTTGCTACGAGGTGAGAGGACCATTTTGTTTTAGGCATTCCATTGCAATTACAAACACAAGGTTACAGTTATTAGACTAATCCATGAGTCCTGTTCTGAAAGTAACAACTACATTTCGTATTCGTTTACTCTTTTATTGAGTCACTAACTACCAGATAGATAATATAGAGTATCTATGTATACTAATATAATATCGACCAGATAATATAGAACAGGTGATCTGTTGTTTATGCCCTAAAAATTGGAATTTGAATGACATGACAATGTAGTCTATTATAAATCTTTTTTAGTTCAGAGTTTAATTTTTCTAACCCAGTATGATATTACAAGCATTCAACTTCTTTAATTTATTTTCATCTTCAGCGGTGGCGATTACTATACTGCATTTTTAAGATGTACTGCAAATGCAGTTAAGCACTTTTCCAGGTTAAGAAAGAAGAAGGAAATAATAATCATCATGCATTATACATTTATAATTCAAAGGTTTCACTGGCAATTCCTTCTGATGTGCATCTAAAAAAATGGACATATCACCCAAGATACCAAACGTTCGATTGGATTTAGTTAAAATTCTCAGATTCTTCAGAGAGCTGCGTACATTAAGAAATCACAGAGAAAATGTTTATTGGGATTTTAGATGTGGTTTAGGTTTACACTGCAGCTCTGATGGTGATATTTTCAGATAACTAATGAAAGAACCTCTACTACTGTTGATGAGACATTGACTAGATTGATTCCTTATGTCAAGATAATCAATGTAAAGGTCAGATGAAAGCCTTAGGAAACAAACAGATGCAGGAATCAACAGTTGTTCTGTGGTGCTGGCAGTGTGACCTGGACAACTCTTTTCACAAACGGATCGAAATGAAACTCAAGGCGTCAGTGTATTTTCTTGTCTGAAAAAGTAGGCTAGAACAAAATTAAATAGATTCTTCTGGGACAACGTTTGTAACAATGGTGAAGCATGAAGGGCTGCTCTTATTAATTTGTTTTAAAAGGTGAACTACTCCTGGTTTAAAAAGAAAAAACATAAAAGCTAGTGTCAGACTCTATTTGTAGCACCATAACTGGTGCTCCAAGTAACCATGAGTTACTTGATAGCAAATTCCTTTATTCGTTTCTCTTGCGACCCAAACAAGATGTTATAAGGACTGATTACTTCTAAACAGAGCCACTTAAGCACATCATAGGCAAAAACACACACCTATAATTCTGAAAATAGTACGAACTGCTCATTTTATCTTAAAATCTCACTGGCATTAAGAGCAGCTATGAGACAGGCAAATTTACTTTAATAACAATGACCTTGGTCATACCTTCTGCATGTTAGCAACTTAAAAAAATCAAAAGGGATCTTAGATTGTACTGTCTAAAACACATAAGACAACAAATATAAAATGAACTAATGACTCACAGCAGCCAAACATAATAATGGAAAGTATGACACAGAGGTGAAAAGAACTTCTGAAAGTCTATCATGTTTCCTTTTCTGGACTTGGATACCAAGGGTTTGGGTGGCTTTCATGCACTGTATTGAGGTGTACCTCTGTTTCCTTTCTAGTACTAACAAACATTGAGGTGTTGTTTTAAAAAAGATCACGTCCGCCTGAAGCACTTGTTCAAGCTGAAACTACAAAGAAAGTTAAACCATATTAATCTTCTGAATGCAACAGAAATGCTTTCTGAATTGCCGCATCACAAAGAACTTCGTGAAAGTGCCTCTGAGAAGAAGTCCAGTTTTATATGCTGTAGGTGCTACAAACAAACAGCTCGTTTCGGAAGTAGGTCCCTGCAAAGTAGGACATTTTTGCCATTACATTCTGGACGAAAAGGAACACTATTTGGAAAACGACATTACTTCACATTCGCAATTACAGTATCAGTATCTCAAATTAATAATTTAGTAGCTATAATATGCCCCACGAGGCCTGAGATGTGCGTCATTGTAATCAATTATGTCAACGTTTGCCTGTTGGATTAACCATGTGTTGAGTTTTAAATATATCCAGATCTCCGGAAACTCTGCAGAGCCACTGCATGGATATGTCCCTCCATAACGACAGAACAATTCTGTCCTTGGAAAACCAACAAAAATGTAACTAAAAACATGATTAGCATTTTAACAGCCTTTTTAAAGTTATTTTTTTATATCTGAAAACAGAATTTAAGAAACCTTACACTGTTTATACCGATAGGTTGGTATTAATGAAAAGACCAATTTAGCATGGCTTAGTTTTGTTAAAAAAAAGCAAATTAAACCTTGAAAAAATAACAATAATACAGAAACAAAGACTTACTATGGAAATGTCGAAACAGTTTGAGTAAACGTCTTCCTGTTTTGAGCAACAAATTAAAAACTACATTCTAATTAACTTCTATTTGGTTATTCTGACAAGCTACAAAATGGATTTCCTTTCTCTTTCCATCTACCAATACCCTGTATTATCAATATCTCTTCTAAATCTCTAATATTAATACAACTTCCACCAATACTAATAACAACAGAAACACACACGGCCTCCTCAAGTTTTAGAAAGAAATGGAGGGAGGAACAGAGGAACACCTGTGCCTAACCAAGGCTGAGGAAACACAGGACAGCAAAAGAGAAAGGGCCTGAAGAAGGCCCCACAGCCGAAACGTTGCGTCTCTTTTTCCTTTCAGTGTGGAATAAGCCTTTATACCTGTTCCGTTGAAACAAATTTTGATGCTTTAGAGTGCCTGCTACGAAAGGTGGGATGTTATAGGTATTTAGGCCACAACACAGCATGTCACCATGTCCTTAAGTATACGATCACTTACCTATTATGCCGCTGTCCTTGCTTTCGAGTGTGGAACTGGGGCTGGTAATAGTCCCACGGGGGCTTGTTTTGTTAGTGGCTGGCTTGCTGATGCTGCTGTTGAGGGTAGAGCACGGGCTATCTGTGCTTGGAGATGCAGTGCTGCTTGTCAAAGTGGAGCACGGGCTAATTCCCTGGCTGGCTATTGTGCACTGGAGAAGATGTAACAGAGAAGAGACCATTTATAATGTTAATGCCTTCCGTCATGACAAGACGTTTCTCCTAAATTGATCTGAATTATGGATCTGCTATAGCTGAACCTGCATTATCCAATTAAAGCATAAAAGCACAAACTGCCTTCCTTGTCCCTAACTTGTAGATATTAAAATAAAAGACGACACTGGGGATAACGTTTGAAACCATCATTAGGACAGGAAGGCTGTTTGTCGTTTGTCTTTCTTCTGGGTTTTGAAAGGTCCAGGACCTTTTATGACCAAAATAACTACATAACCAGAAGATATTTATTCAAATCTAAGCCGAGGATCAAATTTACTTTTTATGCCGTTTGCATAAATATTGTAAAAAGGAACTGGGAATCAAAAAGATGTGCACAGATTTATATTTTAAAGTGATCAGACAAAGCAATGTAACTGAAGAAAATATGCTATTACATCTTTGCAGAGAGATTTTACAGCATCATACCTTTCATTTAAAATGAATCACAGCCTAATCATAAGAACACTCTTTACCTTTTCCTTTATTTACTGAATGCTTTCAAAGCAATTGACAGCAATTACATTTATTTTCCTCTTTAACACTATCTTTATATACTATACACTATACTTCAAATATGCCAAATACTATATTTCTGAGGAATACTCTTTTTATCTTCAAGTGTAGGCAGTCATTTTAAGCTTATATTATCTAAGAATCAATCCTTCTTTTCTTTCCAGAATGTGAGACACAAAGATAGCAATATTCCCACAGCAGTCCTTCCAGTTTTTTTTTTGTATTTCTCTCCTACAGTACAGTATATAGGTCATGAAAAGTGACTTCTAAGACGAGGGAAGAAATGTACCCAATGCCTGGTTCCTTTGTGGTTAATGCCTGCCAAGAGTCTGACACTCAGAACTTCTCAACTCAGTTTTACATCCTCCTTCACTTCCCAGTACTGTTAACTGCCCTCCTAGGTACCCTAGGGGTCATCTGGTGACTTCAGCATACTTTCAGAAAATTTAAGTTCTCTAAAGGCTAGACAATGGATAATAAAACATGCTGTTAGAACTGCAATTATCTTTAGCAGCAATCCTGCATTCTGCGCCTGGTAATAGAGTACCACTCTGCCTATGGAGCACGTCACATACGATTTATAAAATAGACTTCACAAGCAGCATAAACCCACACAAGCACCAACACACTATAGTGAGACAGCATGGTTTCATTATCAAATGAAGTAAATGCCACTAAGGGAAAAAAATAATTACACTGTCTGTTCTCAAACACACAGGACAGATACAGCTGGAGGCAGCCTGCTGCAAGTATGAAATTTGAAAATACTAGAAAAATATTCTGGAAAGTATTTTTTTAGATGTCAGCATGACGTTAAAATTTCACTTCTATTCCTAGATCTCAAGTTTCTTTTTAGACATCTTTGCTAATGGACGTGACTTATTCTAAAAAATAAGCCTCTTACAAGCACCTTAAATTACTGATATTAAGCAAAAATGTCAAAAGCATGTCTGCGCACTGAAATCAAGGACTTTAACTTTTATTCAAAGCACCAGTCTAATTAAAATAGCAAAACAAACTCTAGGCTTAACATAACCACTTCTATTTATGGACTAAAGCTGACACTATCACGTTTCAAACTTGTTCAAAAGGCCATGTAAAGTTTCTGTCAAGCTTATGAAATAAATGTTTGGGTACCTGACAGAGCATTGCTATAGAGTCCCACCAAACAGATCATTAATTCAAGTACTGAAGGAACAGAACAATTTCACAACATAACAAAAAGGAAAAAAAGAAGTTACCCTTATATGAAGCTATAAGTGTTTTAATCCCACAGCAATTAGTGTTGTATTCCAGTCCAAAGTGCAAAATCAAGCAGCAACAAAAAAAAAGCATCCCCTTTCACGGGCAAATTCAACTTTCCCTGTGCTGCTGCAGCTGGAAAATGGCATACCTTCTTTTCATTCTTGTCTTCCATAGGTATGTGAGCCGTGCTTGGGATCCCTTCACCAAGTAAGAAGCCCAGTCTTGTCATCAGTTCCTGAGTAGCGTGGGAGGAGCTTGGCTCTTTCTCAGCCTGCAGTTCTGGAAGAAAAATGGCTTATGTTATTCCCAGTCCAGCTCGCTGGCCTCCAGCTTGGACAAGCAGCTTTGTATACAGTCCACCAGGCCAACACATGTCTGGAATTGCATGGCCTCATTGAAAAAGTGATGACAGCTTTGTCTTTACAATAGACCCAACTGCACTACACTCAGTGGCAGATTACAGTACACATCAGACAGGAACTGAATTGAGATTAGTAATTGTCAGTGGAATGGTATTTGAACTCTGCTGCCAGATGTGTGTGAAGGATGATGCCCCCTCACAAGCAGGTGTGCCCAAGAGTAAATCTTTCATTGAAAAAAATGAAGCTGTTCTTAATACAAGATTCCCACAATGCATCAAAGAGGAATATAGTTACCAATACTTTAGCTGTACAATGTATCAGAAAGTTATAAGGTGTATAGTATGCTAAACCCTCAGTTCAAAAGACTTCTTTTTAACAGATTTCAGAAATATCAGACACAACCTGCTAAAAGGAAATCAGATATCTGACTTTCCCCTCAATAACTTAGGAATGAATACATAAAAAACTAGGTAAAACTAAATACTACATATAATGCAACATATCGTATGTGTTAAAGAATTTTAATCAGTATATTTACAACACATGACATAAAGAGCTTGTATAACAAAATCGGCACAGGAACAGATTTTTTTCTAGGTGCCGAATGCAATTGTTTAAACAATAAGTCTAAAGATCTATATATATTTATTTTTCTCATATGATGCGTTTTTGGGTTGAAAAACACCAACAGTGATCTGTGATTGCTGAACGGACATTCTGCAGTAATAGACACCCATTCCCCCCTTTTAAGTCTTTTAAACCAAGGGTTTACTGTAGAACAAATTACAATATTGCATTGTGCCAGCAAACCTCTTTCTGTTACTGATATTTGATCTAATAAAAATACTTCTTATGAAGGGTAAATAATGCCTTACTTGGTAGTAAAGAAGTATGTTCATTATTAACTGTCTAACAGTGTGCCCAATTACAAAACTACTCCTCTAAGAAACGTGATTTAGAAAATACACAGAGTTAAATTTCAGTTTCCTCTTATCTTGTTTATGTGCAGAAAAGTGTAGGAACAAATTGTCTTTTACAACCACAACCTGGAGAGTACCCATTTATAGAGCAAGACAGAGGCAGAAGCAATCTGCTTGAAGTGCCTTGCTCAAGAACACAACAGCAGCCTCCCACCTGCGACTGGATCTCATGACATGGTGATCCAGAGCCTGACCTATGACTCCACACTGCTGCTTTATTTATTCATTTGTTGCAGAAATCTCCTTTTCATATACAGTACAAATAACGACATGCATGACAACAAGATATAAAAAGAAGTTGTTGGTATGTGTAGGGAGAGGTGGTCTGTGAAATCACACAATATTTCGTTACCCTGAGCCCTTCAGTGATTTACTAGCAGAATCATTTCCCTACAATGCGTTCTCCTCAATTAATGATTTGCTTAAATTCACATTTCTCAATACATTTTGAAGAAAGATGGAGTCTTCCTCCTAAAGACCTGTCATTCTGATTGTCTGAAGCAAAAGCCGCTGGAAAATCTCTGTTCCATAATCAAATCTTTCATAATTAAGAAATCTTTTCCATCAAGATGCCTGAAATAATGTATCCCATTGACACCGCTAAGAAATATCACTCATTTCCTGAGAAACTGCTGACATGCAACATTAAACAACCATACTTCCTATAGTTAGTGCTTTATCATGTGTTATTAACTGTAAGCAATATATGAATTACACTTAAAATCTCTAAAAAATAATTAACTTGCTGTCTTATGAATATTTAAGAAATAGCATAAAACAATAAGATGAGCCTATGAAACAAAGGCAAAAACTGAGAAGAAACCTCTTGTATTCAGATTAAATTACACTCGCAAATCTGCATGCCAAATAACAACCTGGTCACGATCTGAACTAGGTTTTATGTACTCTGTGTAATAGCTTTTACAGCCTACATAAATGTAGCAACATTCAAAGCCCTGTAAGACTACTGCTTGAAATGACAACAAATGCAGCTTGGGATCAACCCTTTGGGTTGAAAGGTATAAATGCAATGTTTCATAGTAAAAGTCAAAGTAAACATTATCGTATGTTTTAGGTTTAAAACCATTGACTAGGGGTTGCGTTAAAACTACTGTTAGGTTAGGGGCAGGGTTATGGTTATTAATTTCAATAAATGTAAGTTTCATTAGATTTTCACTTTCCAGCAGAAGATAAAGTATTACCAGACATCAATTAGTCATTACTTAATTCGCTTATATTTTATTTTCATGGAAAAAAAGAAAAATGCATAAAATGCAGCAAACAAAACAAAAACCATCTTTTCAGATTTGTATGTAACAAAGCTTGATGTTCACACATATCAAGAAGCTAGCCCTTACCCTATCGCTACCCTGACAGCAAGAAAAGTAGGCTTAGATGATATCTGAGAAATATCTTTGAGATGCAACAGCTTTTAAGATTTTTTTTTCCAAGACTATATCTTCTTTTCATCAATGCTAGGGACTATTATAATTGGACACAGTGTTCTGGGAATTAATTAAGCTATTACACAGGCAAAGAGGCCCACTTACAGAGAGCCGTTTGCAGCACCATCTCCACAAACTAGCAATCAGGAAAGATGAAGGGTCTCAGGAGAAGGTTCCATTTATCAGGGTGGCTTTTATTACTTAAGTCTGACAGCTCAGTCCATCAGCAATTCATTTAAAATGCTTAACCCTCCGCACCTCCAAAACAATCAGCCCCTGTGTCCTGTGATAGACTACTGGTGCAACTATTGGTGTAGGAACAGGGGAGAGGAAGAAAATAGTGCAAGCTTCAAGCAGTACATGGACAAACTCAATACATCTCTCAAAATGATCAAATTCCTCAGCTTTGAAGTATAGTGCCCTTGAAAGTGGCAATGTTTAGTACAAAAGTATGTACAGTTTATATTTACACATCCAAATAGTGCAGTCGGTAAAAAGAAACTAGGTCATAATAGACTATATTATGATAACTAAATTCACTGCCATAATTTTACACGTCTATTGTGCATGTTACTTTTACTCTATTATTCATTATACCTCCGCTGAGATGTTACCTAGTGAATCTAAATATGACCCATTCACTAAATGAAATAAAGCACTCCATATTGGAACTGCGGTTGTGAGAATTTAAAATGTGGGTACCTCCCAGCATGACTGCAATTTCAGTACCCATTACTGTTGAAAATAATGTGTGTCCTAGTATACATTTCAGTAAGAGACATGTTTGTCATGAACTTTCATCAGTGTGATGCTTTTCTTCAATTAGTGAACACTGAATTACACCAGTATATTTAGCTGGCGATGCTGTGGGCTCCCCACAATCATTTGACTACAGGTAAAGTAGGTGATGACAACACTGAACACAGCATGGTATCGTTTGCACACATTAAGTTCTGATGAAGGTGATTCAAGGTTGAAGGTAATTGGCTTGTAAAAGACTGCTTGTAAACATCTACACCCCTTGTACAATCTGTTGCAAGTAAGATAACTGTTGGCTAATTAGTAAGTAAATCGTTGCTCCACTATTATTATTGTCATGCCTAACAGGGGTTACTCACACTTGAAGGCATAACACAGCAACATTTCACCAGTGTTACTTAAATCAAATTTGCCCCTATGAAACTTTGAAATAGATAGGATTCTTGTTCTAAAAAAAAACCTAAAACCTTGTTTAAGAAATTGGACTGAACAGCTGTCTCTCTGCAGTGCCACCTCAATTGCTAACATATATTAGTCGCATATAGGCTGGCTGTGCTTTCATCTTACTTTTGGCAAGAGCTCAATGACTGTTAGAGGGCTGTGCTGTATTTTTTGGAATTCGAGAAAAGTCTAGAGGGTTCTAGGCTTTTTCAAATCTCACCAAGTGGACTAACAGAAAGGCTATCATTACTGTCTTCCACAAACTGTAGTGAAACTGTTTTCACTATGTAAGCTCTAACCAAAAACCCATATCTCAAGGTCCTTCATATCTTATGTTATTGAGCACTTACAAATCTATTCATTTAAAACTGCTCTAAAATGAATATAGTTTGGCTAGCATTAAATATATTTTCCTTCAGTATGTCTACGGAACAGGAAAAACATAAAAATGATTTAAACGTTCGAGCCACCAGGGAATATGCTTCCCTTAATTCTTATTATCCAGTTTCCTGAAATAGCCTAAACAGCTGTAAGCCAATGGTGGTATACAGCTTAATCTCCTCTTCTGTTAATTTTAAAAACTACCTCCTAGTCTGCTGGTTATTCAGGAAGATTGTGCAAAGTGCAGTGCAAGTTAGCAGACCTTGCTCTTGGTACCTAGAATGTTTTATTGATTAGGTAGCTATTAAAACTATTTATTCACAAGTGTACAATTCTGTCAGGGTCTGATTTGCTTTCTTCTTCAGTTTATTTTTAGTGAACATCATCTTAAGCTTCTTGCTAAGGTCTTCGTCAATAGCCTACAACAGCAGCACTACCAAACAACATTATTTAAGTACTTCAGCCTGGGTCTATCAATGATCAAATTCTTAAAAACAATGAATCCTCAGGTTTTCAACTTAGCTTTTTTTAAACTACAATCATTTGCTGTGTTTTGATAGCTATAGGCTCAAGTTTAATGGAGGAAAACATAAGATACATATAAATCACATTTGCAAGAACAAATATGGAACACACAGATTTTAAGACTTAACGGAGCGTGACTCAATGGGACAAAAAATGAAAATGGCATAATGAATCATTTCAAAATGAGTTACAACATTATTGTGACAACTGATGTGCTGTGCTTGACAATTTTATAAGTTGAAAATTGGGGTTACTTTGAGGTGCTAAATGTGTTTCCTGTAGTGTTACCTTTCTTTGGTGAATTTGACAGCTAGTATCTTTATTAACAGAAGTAATGTGCAAAAGGAAAAGGATCACAAATCTAATACCCTTACAGCTCTCTACTT